TTATATGGATTTGAACTGTTTTTAAGTTGATCAGAACTCTTTTGGAATAGAAATGTCTATTTAAAATGAATTGTAAATGGTTAGAACCAGCCCCCTTTACCCCCCAAAAAAGATTGGAATTAGTTTGAAAGTGTTCTCTGTTGTTTCAGCAAATTAGTCTGAGTCAGCCAGCAATCTTTTGTGCTAGAAAGAGATGTTTTGAGCTGGCCAGCGCCAATTTCAGAAATTGTTCTATGTCTTCAGGGCAAATCTGAATGTCTTGAATGGGGAAAAGGGAGCGAGCTAACATTTACCAGCTACCCAGTATATGCCAAGCATTGTGCTGGGCACTTGACAAACAGTATCTTATTCAGTCTTCAGAATGATGGTGTGAATTAGCATGCATTATCTTCTCTTTCATAGAATGGAAACCTGGAAATATAAGACACAGAGACATCCAAGTAGTTGGTATGTGAAAGATTTCGGATTCAAACCCAGTTCTGCTTGACTTCACGTGTTTCCTGTTAGACTGCCTTGTGAGATATCATACCACTGAGTAATGGACATAAAATTTTGGGGTAGAATAGACATTGGACTTGGAGTTAGGAAATCTAGATTCTAGACGGTGCAAATCAGTTAACCACTCTGGCTTCTGTTTTATCTTTAAGAAAACTGAGCCCAGAGAGTGACAGGTCTGAGCATTTATTTTCAGATCAAGAAATCAGATAAGTGTCTTAAAAGTGCCGACTATGATTAATATTGATGGTGGTATCTATACCTTCAGTTTGTGGTATTTGGGTTGTTAACATTTCCCTTATGATGGCTTTGTTAGTATTGCTATCATGAATAGAAAACAAAACTCACAAAGACTTACATGTGTGATTCTTCACCCATGAAAACGGAACACATTGAATTGTTGGTACAACAGAGACAGTTTCATCTAAGTCTTTGAATTTCACTCAAGTGGGTTTAGCAAATTCTAGAATATTGAAGCCATCGGTGACAGCATTTTCTCTTGTACCTTAAATTTTATAAAAACATAGTTATAAAAATAACCAACTTTTTCCAAATTAAAAGCAAAGATGAAATAAGGTAGCCACAGTGTCTTCTTGCATCGTTCTCATTGCAGAATTGGAGAGTTGTCTTTTGCTTCCTCATTCAATTTGAGGGGAATCCTCCCAAATGATTCAGTGTTGTCTGAATCTGCTTTTAAATTCTTAGTGCTTATTTCTAAATAACTTGGAGGTAAGTGGGATGCTGTGATATGACATGCTACAATGTTTATGCATAAGTGGTCATCTTTTGGAGAGAAATCTGTTATGTATCATTAGTACTGGTAACCTACACCTGCAAATACAGACACTGTTAAGATAGGAAAGTCATCATCTTTAAATTGTCACTCTTTATAGTGTGCAAATAGAACTATGAATGTTTGTAGAGGCTCTGCCCTTATCGACTGGCCAGCCATATCTGAAATGTGAGGTCCCAGATCTGCACTAAGGCACTATGAGGAAGTACATTGCAGCAGCTCTTAGGACTCAAGATTGAGGATTTTTGAGCATAAGGTGAGTCAGCAAGTTGAGGATGGGGTGGTGAAGCCAACTTTGGAAGTCAATAAGTGTCTTTGTCTGAGTTTTTATTAATTTTATGGACCTATAGAAATAATCCTATAGGAAGCACTGAGTACTATAGCAAAGTTTCTGGATATGGGGCTGGGTGAAAAGCAGACAACATGGGGAAAATCAGCATCACCTAACATAGGGCATCTGGTGTTTGTGTGGAGAGGTGAATATATATGTTTGAATGGGCAGGTGGAGTTGTCAGTGATAATGGCATAGCTGGTAATGTTTTCTGATTTTTAGGAGAGTTTATTGGCATTAGAGATGGGAGGATAGAGGTGAGATGAAGTATAAAAAGAAGAAAGCCTTCCCTGGAAAGAAACTCAGTTTTCAGTTGGACTGATATTTCGAGCTTGAATCTATTGAAAGGATAAAAATAAATCATGAAAAGTGTTGATTGCAAAGAACTGAAAATAATCATGGTTAGGTATTGCTGGTAAAAATGACTTTTTCTTCTTTAAGGTGGACTTTTGTTTTAGTCAGTACTGAAGAGTTGAATTTTCAGCTGTTCTTGTTAGAATACCAAAGTAAGTATAGGTAAATGAGCCCTTAGTTGTGGAACAATGGTCTCTGAGTGGTGACTGCTTAAATCTGGAACCCAGTTCCCAAGTGAGCAGTGATATTCCAGAGAAGTCTAATATAATATGTAGTACATATTAATAATATTAATAATATGTAAGGAAGCTGCAAGCCAAATTTTACTTGTAAATTAACAATGTCTTCAAAGGAAATATATCAACGTGAAGATGAATAGGATAAATGAAATTGCCTAGATATCCAAGTAAAAAGAGAGAAAAGCTAAGGATCCAGCACTAGGAGACTTTGAAAAAGGAGGGAGAATTGAAACCACTTGCCCTCTAAGAATTACTATTATTTTCCTTCCTCCTTTCTTTGATTAGTTTTTGTTCTGTGTGGTCTGCAGATAAGATTTGGTGACTATTATCTTCTTGTCGATTATCATTCTCACTCGGAATTTTTGTCTTAATAGTACTATAATATGTAAGTTAAATTAAAACTAAACTGTTAGTTATTGACCGTTATTTCAGTAGTATCTAGCAAATTATTAGATCCTCAGAGACAGTGAACAATATGTAACCCACTCTTCACAGAACTCCTAGGCATATCGGTGTTACATCAAGGTACTTGTTGGGGGCTGACTGGTTAGCTCAGTTGATTAGAGCACGGTGTTACAACACCAAGATCAAGGGTTTAGATCCCCATACAGGCTTGCCACCAAAAAAATAAAAATAAAAAAAATTAAATAAATAAAGGAAGTACTTGGTGAACTGAATATTGAGTTGTCACTTTATTAATTAATAACTAATATTTTCTAATGGATTTTAATAAATATGCATTTGTTTGTATTTTGCAGGTGAACCACTGAGTTCTTCATTATGTCTGATGGAGATTATGATTACCTCATCAAGTTTTTAGCTTTGGGGGACTCTGGAGTAGGGAAGACCAGTGTACTTTACCAGTACACAGATGGTAAATTTAATTCCAAGTTTATCACGACAGTGGGCATTGATTTCAGGGAAAAGAGAGTGGTAAGTTCTATATCCTTCTATATAAAAATGTAATCTCTAAGTCAACATTTGCCTGTCTGGTGAGTTTACTTTTTAAGAATTAGGAGGACAAAGGTCGGGATCTAAAATTAAAGGGTATATATAAAAGTGTGTTACGTTCAGTCTGGGCAAGGTGATTGGAAAGGCTGTGCTGCTTTGTATTAAACCAAGCAGACAAAGTAAAAGTGCACTGTTCTTTTAAATTTCCCTGTGGTACCCTTTTGGCTTGTGTCTTCCCTTCTGAACTCCACAACGTTGTCTATTTTTGGCATGAAGCCTGCCATCCACCCTGCCTTCATACCCCTGTTTTGTCAGCTATAGCTTCCACCTTTGGTGTCTGGTCATTTTTTATGGCATTTCTCTTCGTTAAAGTCTCAGCAATTTCACATGGAACACTAAGTGGCAGAACTCATCACTGCTGCCAGGAGGGTGAGGTTGGAGTAGGAGCGGGGAATGCTGGTTGTGGATGTGATGTTCTGCAGAATCAGGAGGGGCTCCTTTTTTTTTCTTAAAGGCCCTCAAAACTGAAAGTTATTCTAGTGGCGGAGGGAAGGACAGGAGGTCACTGTGTCACAGTTGCAGAGGAAAGATGGCCTTCTCCATTGGCTACATTTCTTGCTGAAAAATCCACTGTCACCTTGAAGCAGGTTAATAAGTGGTCAGGAGATTAATGACAAAGACCCTTTAATAGAGCGTATTCTACCAGGGGAACATACAGTCCCTGGCTTCCAGGACAGAAGAATTCATTTCCTTTTATCCACTCTAGGTCTTTACTTTTACTTCCAGAGAGTCTTATAGACGCTTAGACTCATTCACTGAGTAAGAATGGGGTCCTAATGAAATTTTTAGTATTGACATGTAATTGATAGAACCTACATATATGTATGTGGTTATTTTTGTTAGTTAATTCTCATTTTATACCTTATTTTTAAAAAAAGATTTGAGATATAATTCACAAAAAATAAATTCATCCATTTAAAATGTAAAATTCAATGGTTTTCACTATATTTAGAGTTGTGCAACCATCACATTTTACAACATCTTCATCACCACAAAAAGAAACCCAATACCTGTTAGCAGTCTTTCCCCATACCTCCGTCCCCTAGCCACCACTCTACTCTCTATGGATTTGTCTATGTTGGACATTTCATTTAAGTGGAATCATACGATATGTGGCCTTTTGTGTCTGGATTCTTGCACTTAGCACAATGTTTTCAAGGTTCTTCCATGTTGTATCAGGACTTTATTCCTTTTTATGTCTGAATAATATTGCACTGTATTGGTATACCACATTTTGTTTATCCATTCCTCTATTGATGGACGTGTGGGTTGTTTCTTTTTAGCTATTGTGAGTAATGCTTCTTTAACATTCGTATATACCTTTTTTTTGTGGATCTACATTCTTAATTCTCTTGAACATATGCCTAGGACTGGAATTGCTTGGTCATATGATAACTCTATGTTTAACCTTTGAGGAATT